TGATGGAGGGATCTTTGTTTCACAGGCCTAGTATGGAGTAGTGGTTAGAGGTTCGCCTCTGCATGGAAGGGTCCTTGGTTCAATCCCTCCCGGCGTCATCTTGCCCTGTGAAGATGCCCGACAGCCGTTACGCCCACACTGAGGCAAACAATGGGTGGCGCGTATGGAAGGTCTCAAGAAAGGCCATACAACTTTGGAAGGGTCTACAAACAAAGCTATACTACAGCTCCAAAGGGGTTTCACAGCAGGGCCATACAGCGTGAAAGTTCTGACCTTCTGCATGCTACACAGAAGTGCGCTGCGATCGGTATTGCTTCAGCACTTCTTGAGCAATCAGCTGTGCAAACTGTTTCCCCATTCGCTTCTTCTCCTTCTCTTCTGCCACCTCTTCATCCCGCTCGGCCCGTCGACTGAGAGAGACATTGGCAATAGTTTGCCGCTGATCCTCGCTCAACTCCCTGTACCGGCGAAGGTCGCGTCGACGCATCTCGGACTCGCATAAATCACACACATTCCTTAGGAATGGCTTCTTCGGGCACGCAACTTACCATAAGCAACTGCGTCGAAACTGGCACAGACTCTCACAAACCTGAACAGAAAGGCCGCTGTTTACTGTTTGCACCGAGCAACCCCCGAAACTTCTCATCGCGATCCACCCCGCAGACACAGCATCGTTCCATGCGAATTGGAATTCCGCCGAAATTGAGCCGGTTCCGTACCTTGCGCTCCTCAGGGCCAAGCTCTGGCTTCGGTGGCGGAGTGAGGGCTTCCACAGGAGCATCGCGGTCCACCGTCTTCCTCTCCGGTGTCGTGAAAGGGGCTGCTGGCTCGTCCTTTGCTGTCGAGCGAAAGGAGAAGGCTATGCAGCTATGGAGGGGTCTTTTCAGCAAGGCATTCGGCTCTAGCAGGGTCCTGCAACCATTTGCATACAGGTTTACAAGGGTCTAGAAGCAGGTCATACAACTCTAGATGGTGCTGCTGTCGTATGAAGGTCTGAACAAAAACAGTGTTGCAACGAGACGCATCGGAAGCTTTCGTCTTCTGGCTCTTTCGAGACGGAGATGGCTGTGGGACCACTGCTGAATCCATGGAGTTGCTGGCTTTCTCGGCCTCAAGCATAGATTGAGCGGTTGCTGCTTGTTTGAACATTGGTGCTCGAAACATCATGCTATGAGATGTTCAATGTGGCGCCGAGATACATCCTTTCGCTTCTTCTTGGCTTTAGTTGGTTGGCAAGCTTCTGCTGCATCGGCGGATTCACAGGTCTTCTTTGCCTCTTTTACATGGCGTCTAAGCTTAATTACTTATAATTTGAGGCTAGGGATTTGGGAGGACTCCAGCTCACGAACAAAGACACTACTTTGTTTCCGATGGAGTTGCCTTTGTCGGCTCTGCACTTGCCCCAGCCACGACAGCCTGCAGGGCTCACGAGAAAACATCAAAGTATTCGAATATCAACCCCATCAAGCTCAACCTCCCACAAACAGGATTACGAAAGCACGCTGTGTCCTTGTCTGGCGGAGGCTCTTCAAAGCCGTGTGCTTTTGCGTGCGCGAGGGCAGCTTTGCGAGTGGAGCATTTCTTCCCATCTGGTGCAATCCATACGCCTGGGCATGGATCTCGCCGAACAGTTCGGACTACCCCAAGACTGCGTATCAAAGAAAAAACACGAAAGGCTGAGGCTGACCATGCTGAGTCTCTGTATGGAGTCCCAACTTTCACGCCCGACAGGTAGAGCCGCGGCTGGATTTGCCACATGGCTCTTATCACAAGACTGCTAGCTTTGCAGTGGTCGGTACAATGATCAGGCTTGATTCGTAGTTTGATGCGGCCAGTGGGCTGTCATACATTGGCACGGATACGAGAGTCAACAAGATGTAGTTGACCAGTAAAGCCGAGCCAAGACCCCTGCACCGAAACATGCATGCCCGCACTAGTTAGTCAATTCCCTTTCGCATCTCTTCCGCGCCGCTTTCGCGTACCTTTCGCGCGCGAGGGTTTTGCATACTTTTATATA